CATCAATTTGGAAGTATCTAGTATCTTCTTCATGTAACCATGTCTCAGTGATGCTGATAATATCCGGCTTATCAAAGGAATCTATTAGTTCCTTCAGTTGGTCAAATTTGCTCCCTTTATTTGCTTGTATACTTCTTATGTTCAGGTACAGCCCTTGATACTTTAGATCCTTTCTTTGGTTGTAATTATATTCTAACATTAATGTTATGAAGTTAGTATCTCTGATACACTTGTTACCCTCTCCCTAACTCCACGCATGCGCATGTACTTTGTTAGCACCATAGCTACGTTCCATGACAACCCCTGTTGTATGATCAGTCTTGGAGAATACACCGTTGACTACAGACGTCCCTGTATTTCACTCTCCCGTCTCCTTACCCGCTCCGCTACACACACAATTCTACAACATTAAACTCCTAGTTTCACTTCTAGTTCACTGAAGTTCGCACTGCTTGTTACTTCAAATTTGATACTTGAATTTCTTTTGGCAACTAGTATTCTACCTCCTGTTGCCCATACAGAGCAGTCCTTTCCTTTGAAGTATTCTCTAGCCTTAGCAGCGATGGCTCTTTTCTCCGGGGTAATACTTTCGTTAATGTAGAATCTACTCTTGTTATCAGGGAACAGATGATCCAACACTTCATTCACTTGGAGTTTTTTTCCTCGTCTGACCTGGAGTAGTTCGTATTTTTTCCACCTTTGAACAAACCTTGCATAGATTGGGTTGTGGGGTAATTTACTAGGTACCCTGTGTATGGCGTCTATGTGTTCGTCAGTTATTTTTACATCCAAGTGCTGACCAATTACCAATTCTCCTAATTAGATGGAAACAGTCTTCTGCTTCAGTTTCTGGGATCCCGTGTATTTCCACTACGTTTCTTCTATTGTATTCTGCTAGATAGCTGAGGCCTGCTTTAGTACGATTTAGTTCTTCCCTATTTTGGGTGATCCTGTCTTCAGCAGTTTTTTGCCAAATCTCTAAGTTGCTAACCTTTTCAGAGATGCTGTCTAACTTCTGGTTCACTCCTTTGAATTCGCTCTTCATTGTTTTGCTGATTTCATTCAGCTGTTGGATCAGCTGTTGCTGGTCCATTTCGGGGTTATGTTCCCCTGTGGTGCACTTGTCACACTTGAAGTTTTCCAATTGGACTGTTCCAGGATCTTGTTCTTTGCGAAATTTTGTAGCATAGGTCTTATGGAAGGATCTTTTGCACACAACACACTCAATAACCACAACTCTTCTATCTTTTAACGTTTTTTCACAAGAGCTACAATTATCCGGCATGTTACACAGTCACCGCCTTCTCTTAATTAATTTTAGAAAATATTAGATGGTCTCCTAAGGGGTAACTTGCAAAAGTAGAGACGTCTGGGCGAAAATTTCGAACGTTTTGCTCTATCTTCTACCGTTTGGGCGCTAGAGGGAGTATCTCTCACAAAAGTGGCCCAAAAATAAATTTATTAATTTCCGAAA